GAGGAGGGGCTACTGTACCTAAAACGCTGTTGCCATAGCCAAAGTCCTATAAGGATCGCTATTCCTCTGAAAAACCACACTCAAGGGCCATCTACAGAGTTCAGTCCATCTGATTGTTTAGAGAAATGCTTCCCATTTAAAGCGATACTGTAAGGCACACTAGGGTGATTAGATGAGGCTGAAGGTAACTGGTATACCTGTCCTTGTATGGTACATACCTCCATCAGCAGGCTGGTTGGAATGCTCAATTTAGAGGGCTCTCTGGACAAACAGTTTTTAAAGGTGATGAATATCTTTATAAAAATAAAAATCTCTCTCCTTAACTGATCTGCCATACACATTTCATATTTCCATATGTCAAGTTTGTCAACTGAGATAGACATGCACTATTTGACTGATTATAATTTTTTTTTTTTTTTTTTTTTTTTTTTTTTTTTTTTTTTTTTTTTTTTTGAGACGGAGTCTCGCTCTGTCGCCCAGGCTGGAGTGCAGTGGCGCAATCTCGGCTCACTGCAAGCTCCGCCTCCCGGGTTCACGCCATTCTCCTGCCTCAGCCTCCCGAGTAGCTGGGACTACAGGCGCCCGCCCCTGCGCCCGGCTAATTTTTTCTATTTTTAGTAGAGACGGGGTTTCACCATGGTCTCGATCTCCTGACCTTGTGATCCGCCCACCTCGGCCTCCCAAAGTGCTGGGATTACAGGCGTGAGCCACCACGCCCGGCCGACTGATTATAATTTTATTCCTCAAAATAGCTTATTCCCAAAAAATGCTAATTGCCATATTGGTCTTGTCCACATCCAGAAAGATTCTAATCCAAACCCAAGCAAGAAAAGAAAAGTTATTATTTAATGCAGTAAGTTTACCTCCACATATAAACCATATATGTATATGTACCTATACAAATGTGCACAGATAATGGGCTTTTCTAATAGCACAGGGGATAAAAAGTAAATAGAAATAGTATTGCAGTATTAGAGGGAATAAATTATTTTACAAATTTACCCATTTTTCCCTTCCCCTCTAGAATGTAGTGGGGGAAGAGATTTGCATCTGTCTTGCTCATTGCTATAGATTCCCTGACAATGCCTGGCATATAGGAGATACTCAATAAATACTTATTGAATTGAATTGAATCCATGGGGTCAAAACAAATTGCCTTTCATGTGTTCTAGGATTACAAATAGAAAAAAAATCAGAGACATTTAGCAAGACCACCAACTTCCTTAAATTCCACTGGCTATTTTATTTCCTAATTGGAACCTAACTCCTGTAGTCAATGCACCTAGTAGCTTTGATGCTTTCTGATCAGCCTCTCATTCCTGTACCTCATGCAGACACAAGCTTGGGCCTCTTTGGAGCAGGTTGGGACAAAGATTAACTTCTTCCTGGAACCTAGAAAAGGCTAATAAGCCCTGTGGAATAATATTTCTAAGTATTCACCATACTGGAATCAATATCAACATGCTGTCAGTGTGTGCATTAGCCCCACATTCAAACAAAGAACAGCCCTTAGAGCCTAATAATGATGCTGGGCGTGGATAGCTGGGGATGAGCAAGATGATACAGAAATGACTGTATCAGCTCTCCTCAAACACAAGGCTTCCAGGATATTACACAAGACTATCATTCTTGTACTTTGTCAGAGATAGACAGGGTTTGGTTTCAGCCACTGATACATTCAGCAAAATAAATCCTCTATCTTCTTAACCTAAGAGATAGATTCAGGTTACACTTTCCAGACTGTGAGAGAAGTTTCTGCTTCCCGGGCAACACCAGGGAATACAAACATCTTAAAGTTAACAAAGCACCAGAAATATAGCTGATAAGACAGGTATATAACAAAGTTGAATCATTACTGACTCAGGTAAGACCTGCTTTGAGTGCAACTCCATCATGCCCACACTTATTGATGTAACATTTTCCATACAGAGATCCTGCTAGAAAGTTATGTCAAGCAAGGGTAGTGGCAAAGGTCTAAGCATCAACTCTTGGTTACTTAAATCTCTAGGTACAAAGTAAATATTCACATCTGATCAAGATTCATGCTCCTCCTTACAGCAAAATCAATCTTAGTGTTGCAAATGAGATTTCATTCTACATGTGAAATCTGATTTTCCAATTAGAATGAGGAGGGGTGGAGTACATGTGATAGAGTATAGATGACTGATCTGTATGGTATACACAGTAAAGATGTAATAAAACTGAGATGACCATGGGTAAGCATGTGTGCTGCATGGCCAGAGTGCAATGATTTGGAATCACTTATTAACTACATAACCTTGGCTAAGTTTATTTGCCTGGCTAAGGACTGGTTTTTGCAAAATGTGAATAATAACACCTAATCCTATAAAGTGAGATTATTACTCTCTACTTCATTATAATAATATACACAAAACTTAATTCAGTACTGATACACAGTGAGAACTGAATAAATAATAGCTATGATTGTTATTATGATTATTATTTTTATCATCCCTAAGTGGCCTAGTTATCAGCAAATAATTAACTTCTTTGTAACTTTGTAATTTATTTATGAAAGCCATAACCAAAAGTACAGAGGACATTAACTTCTTGTGAGGCTTCCATGGCCTAAACTTTGTCCAATAAACATGGTCTTGATGATCTATCATTACTGTGAAACAAAATTCCATAAATTGTAGAAAGTTTCAGTGAGGCACCAATAAACGCAGCCATAGAGAAATCTCTTCCTTCCCCTATATATATATACACACACACACCATCCACCTCTTGGGGATATATTAAAACTGAGCCAGTAATTAAGACATGCAGCTAATCAGAGAGCAGCACAGGCTGTGGCCCTCTGCAAAGAAACGAAGAAACAAAACATTAGGATGACAGCTCCCATTACCAGGGCTTTGTTCTCCTGGAGCAAAAAGAGCACAAAAGCATAAAGTTGGAGAACTGTAATTGCATTTTGAACATTTGTGGGGGGAAAAATTACAGGCTTGTCTGAACCGGGAGGATGTTCCACTAGATAAATGCGTCAGTCCACACCCACCAGCGCCCTTCCCCACCCTCAAAGCATGACTCCACTTTTTCTAACACTGCCCTTAAGGAATCTAGCTTTTGTGACTTTCAGTAATTGAACAAATCAACCACGATGAAGCAGCTGAACAGCACTTTAGACAAAAGAGACAAGAATTAAGCAAATAGAAAACTCATTAAAATGCTGCCTTTTGCTTTTTCTTACTCCTAGAAATTCACGTTACCAAACAAGTCTTTCTTGGTTGCTCTTCTTCAGAAATAACACTTTAAGAGAATTCTAATAGGCACTAAGTGATTTTCTCCAGATTTATAATCTAGCTATGAGACATACTTTCCCTTCCCCCATCACCATCTAGCACTCTTCCCTGTCACCTTAGAGCTTTTGACTTAGATGCATTCACACCCAGCAGTCCCAGCAGAGCTTTCTGCTCACATTATATGACATAAAAAAGCAGGCAATGAACAATTCATGCTCCTAAGTGCTTGCGATAAAGCCAGGCTGAGCTGACCTCTCCCATCCTATATAGCTGCGTGTCAGAAACATAAGCTTAAAGGACTGAGAGTAGCAAGCATGCGTGATGTGGTATAAACAAACAAATTAAAATCTGAGGCCTTTCCTCTGGCTGGTGCCTAATGGTACTAACATGCTCAATTCTGTGCAAAAATAAATAAATAAGTAAATATAAATAAATCACTCAAAGCTAGCTAAAGTATTGCTTTTCCTGCTTTCCACGATACATCTCTTTAGCCTCAATAAACAGACTAAAAGAAGAGGAATTCAATGGTTGCCATTCTTTCGTGTAAGACTCTTTGAGTAAAAACTATCAATTTGGCAGCATTAAGCCACGAGACCACTCCCTGATTCTAAGTGGACATATTGATCAATTGAACTGACATGTGCCTCCTCCTTTCTCTCCCCTAGTAGCAATCAGCTGCACCAGGGAAATCCATTTCATTTCCCAAAACAAAAGGCAACACACCACTCCTTATCTGGCCCTGTCAGACTAATTTTTTAGGAAAAAAAAAATAATGAAGATGCCTAAAAACAGAGCTAGGAGTTGAAATGAAAATGATACATGTTTAGAGTTTTGGAATTGAGTTGAGGTTATGACTGAGTGCAGAGATCTGTATTCCCTACAACCACTGAGGACCCTGATATGTATTCATCATACCCAGATTTTTGTTAAAGTTAAGCAAGGGATGGCAACACCACTGCCACTTCAGAGGCTCTCCCCCAGGTTACCCTTCACTGCAACTGCCGCAGAGAGGAGACTTGTTCCTTTCTCAGTTACAAGTCAGTCTGCAAACAACTCCAGCTATTTCAGAGACTAGCTAGAGATGGAGAAATATGTGGCAGTCTTTCAACTAACTCTGAAGGACATGGGTTGAAGAACTACCATATAGATCAAAAGGCTCAAATAATTTCATTTGTGTTAGGTCTTTATGCTTTTAATAAATTCTGTCTTGAATATGCAAGAGATCCCCTTTCACATCAGGGTTATGTCAAATGCTTATTCAGCATTTGTTCCTTGCCATGAAGAAACTGAAACCCAACCGAGGTAAATACTGAATTTCATACTGCAAATCACTGAATATTTCATATTTCACAAGAGCAAAGAGGGGGCCAATTAGCTCTGCCTCCCAAAAAGAAATCTATATTTTTACAATGCTTAAATACTGTTAACTACTCATTTTAAAGCTTATTTGGGGTTTTGCAATTGAAAATCATCTTATGTTTATGAAAAATTCTGTAAGAACACTTAAAAATAACAGACAGAGCTGGAGCAAGAATAATTCTACATATTTTAATTCCTGTATGACTCTTACAGGCCTTTGTCTTAACCCGGCAGCCTGAAAAACAGATTTAGGTAAAACAGCCCTTCTTTTCCCAGTCCATTTTAAGCAGAGACAACATCCCCCAATCTCCGCCTTAGCAGACACCGACTAACCAACAAAACAGCCATGCAATTAAGGCCCAGACATTTAACACTCACCATCTCCTGATCCCACCGTCTTCTTTTGATGTTTACAGCACATCTGTAGGATGCAATACTAGGAGATGCCTTGTTTGACCTGCTGCATGATGCTGTGACATCAGTTCAGATGATGCAGCTCATTATGGGAAAGACTGCTGTTGCTATGGCAACTGGGATGTGCTAGGAATCCTTGCTGCATTTCCAGTGGAGCCTGAGACAATACGGAAGCCCTGTAAGAAACAGACGATATGCAAAATTTAGACCAAAGGAAGAGGATTCCTCATTGGACTAAAATCCATAGGTTTAGAAGGGATTTCCCTGAAAGCATTTTGGAAAAAATAAAAATTATCTCCCACTTTGTTGTTAAACATTTAGGAAAAAAGGTAGGAGGAGAAAATAGAATTAGTACTAAGCAAATAAAAATTGAAATGTATAGTGTTTCCTTATTAGACAATTTGATCACTTTTTCCTCCCTGGTCAGCACTGGGATAGCTTTTTTAAAGTTATTAAAAATAATTTTTGCTCATCTGTCAAAGACCAAAAGAACAAAACAGTGAGCACAAAAATAATTTAAAATGGAATATAAACAGCTGACCAAATGACTCTCTCAAGTAAACAAGTTTTAATTCTCAAAACATGGGCAAACCCTTGGCCAATGAAGTCTGTCCTGGTCATTTTCCCTGAGGAACACCAACCCACAGAACCTTCTCATGCAGAGTAATCCCGGTTTTCACCTGGTCATCAGATAGGCAGCAAAGGGAAGTTTGGAATCTAGAGGGGCATAACACAACACCCTCAACTTCTAGTGACTCTTCCTTTGGCCTACAAGGAACCCCTCCCTTTGATGGCCAAAAAATGCATGTCAGTCTTTTCTGGGATCAAACGTAGTGATTGGAACAAGTAGCAGACCTGCTAGAAACTTCCTAAATCATTGGCATTCCAAACATTGGGGTCTGTTTTCTTCTTTTCTGAGCAATAAAACTGCCTACCACACAGATTATTCATGCTCCTCCCCACCCCCAAAAGCTGGAACTGGGTGACAAGCCATATTTAAACAAGACACAGTAAGGTATTTCTCCAGTTGGTAAAAGAAAAGCAAACCTAAAGCAATCACTTCTTTCCAGTCCTGAGCAGAAACAAATATCACGTGGTGAGAACTAGGGGGAAGGAGATATGGACACAGCAGCCTATGTTTTGCATATTTAATATTTGCAGGCCATTAATAGAGGAAAAAAACAGAATCAAGCTGACCTGTATCCACTCTGTCTTCACAACTCTGAAAAAGAACAACATTCCAAAAGTTTAAAATATAATGAGACAATTATGTTGTCTCCTCCTGCTTGAGATTTTAAAATGACACTGTTAACCACCAGCATATGGGGGTATGGGATGAGTGGCAGAAGGAATTCAGGCAGTGTCTCTATAAATAGGGGCTAATAAAATGCCTGAGAAGTGCCAAGATCCCAGCAGGGTGCACCATCAACCTCGCACAGAGCAACCCTGCCCTAGATGGGAAGACAGACTTGTTCTTGCTTCACCTAGAGAGGAATTAAGAGACCAAAGCAGGAGGTGAATCTGCCTGCGTAGGTCCTCAGTGGCATCAGCAGAGCCTGACTCCCCCACTTTATCTTAGACTTCAGACCACATGCCACACACAAGGAGAGAAGTAGTAGGCAGCTACCCCAGTGCAAAGAGCATGGATCTGAGAGTGAGGAAACCCAACTGTAAATGCCAGGTCCTCCTAGAGCATCTGCGTGACATCAGGCCAATTGATTAACCTCCTGGGGCCTCAAGTTTTTCATCTGCAGAGAAGATTGATTTAGCTAATAACCACAGTTTTCAGGTTTTTCATTAGTAATATAACCTTTATTTTAATGATACAGATCAAAGCTGGACTGCCTTGGTTGAGGCAAGATAAGAAGCCCAGAGCCCAGACTGATGAGCCATTCTCAACCACTCCCTCCAACTTCATTTGCTATAAGCTGACTCTTTAAGATGTCTCTGAAGAACCCCTCAGCCTCTGGAGAAGATAAAAAGACGTGGATCTATTATAGAACAAGATTAGTCTTTCCAGAGCTAAAATCCACATGCTATAAAGAGGAGAGGACAGGGTGGGAGCAGGTGTTCCAGATTTGAATATGGCTTCTCAAGATGGTAAGGATCTTGTTAATCGTCTTTTCCAGAAGCAAGTCAATAGTTTGGTGGGAAGAAATGGATGACTCATCAAACCTGAGGCCAGGTCAAACTTTTAACAACCTGAACTAGCTAAATTGCTGACCCACAAAATGGCACTCACCAATGAAACGGAAGTGGACGTGGAAAGCATCACCTCCAAAGGTGGCTAAGACCAAGTGTCTCTTCTTCATATTTTCCTGTCCTGCTAGCTGGATACACACAATCCAGTGGAACTCTGAAGCCCAGAAAGATAATGGCCACACATTGTGGATGGAGCCTGGGTCCCTGAATGACTGCATGGAGCTCAACCATCCTCTCCTAACTACCCATTGACCTACACTGGGCTTCAGTGAGTGAGAAACAAACCACCAACGAGATTCTGGGGTAGTTTATTCTGAATAAATTATCTATTTATAGACAAAATTGTAATAATTTAATAAAATATAATAAATTTTCTAACAAGATTATATTATATATCATTATTTATGATAAAGTGACAATGTCAAAAACATGTTCCTTTATTGCAGACTTTCTTTTTTTATTTTATATTACTTTAAGTTCTGGGATACATGTGCAGAACGTTCAGGTTTGTTACACAGGTCTACATGTGCCATGGTGGTTTGCTATACCTATCAACCCGTCATCTAGGTTTTAAGCCCTGCATGAATTAGCTATTTGTGCTCTCCCTCCCCTTGCTCCAACCCCTCGATGGGCCCCAGTGTATGATGTTCCCCTCCCTGTGTCCATGTGTTCTCATTGTTCAAATTCCATTTATGAGTGACAACATGCAGTGTTTGACTTCCTGTTCCTGTGTTAGTCTGATGAGAATGATGGCTTCCAGCTTCATTCTTTTTTATGGCTGTAGAGTATTCCATGGTGTATATGTGCCACATTTTCTTTATCCAGACTATCATTGATGAGGATTTGCGTTGGTTCCAAGTCTTTGCTATTGTAAATAATGCTGCAATAAACATACATGTGCATGTGTCTTTATAGTAGAATGATTTATAATCCTTTGGGTATATACCCAGTAATGGGATTGCTGGGTCAAATAGTATTTCTGGTTCTAGATCCTTGAGGAATCACCACACTGTCTTCCACAATGGCTGAACTAATTTATACTCCCCAAAATAGTGTAAAAGTGTTCCTATTTCTCCACAGCCTCTCTAGCATCTGTTGTTTCCTGACTTTTTAATAATCGCCATTCGAACGGGCATTAGGTGGTATCTCATTGTGGTTTTGATTTGCATTTCTCTAATGACCAGTGATAATGAGCTTTTTTTTTCATATGTTTCTTGGCCACATAAATGTCTTCTTTTGAGAAGTGTCTGTTCATATCCTTTGCCCACTTTTTGATGGGGTTCTTTTATTCTTGTAAACTTTTTTTAAGTCCCTTATAGATTCTGGATACCACCTTTGTCAGATGGGTAGATTACAAAAATTTTCTCCCATTCTATAGGTTGCCTGTTCACTCTGATGATAGTTTCTTTTGCTGTGCAGAAGCTCTTTAGTTTGATTAGATCCCATTTATCAATTGTGGGTTTTGTTGCAATTGCTTTTGGTGTTTTAGTTAGGAAGTCTTTGCCCATGCCTATGTTCTGAATGGTATTGCCTAGGTTTTCTTCTAGGGTTTTTATGGTTTCAGATTTTACATTTAAGTCTTTAATTCATCTTGAATTAATTTTCGTATAAGGTGTAAGGAAGGGGTCCAGTTTCTGTTTTCTGCATATAGCTAGCCAATTTTCCCAGCACCATTTATTAAATAGACTGCAGATTTTCTAAGAGTTTTAAATCTGCTAATATGCATTGAGACTCTCCTGTAGAAATATAGTATGCAGTATTTTCCTAATTTATATTTAACCACAGAATCCTTTTTTCACAGACTAATGTTCCATTGGCTGTCCATCTATACAACACAGTAAATATGACTGTAAACAGCAATGAGCTAGAACACCACTAAACCACCTATTCAGCCTGGGGCTACAGAAGAAGGAAAAAATAAAACTTCTCTCACCTTCTGCACAACTCAGTCTGCCTCCAATCTTTCTCTGCCATCCTGAACTGACAAGACAGAAATCTGGTAGTATCATTTGCAGACAGCAACATTTATAGAAATGTTTCCTCCTGGCCGCTTTTTCCTATTTGTAAGTAGGCATTGGCTATAGTTTGAGTGCTCCCTCCAAAATTCATGGGTTTGGTTTTCTGGGTTTTTTGTTTGTTTGTTTGTTTTTGTTTTGTTTTGTGTTTTGTTTTGTTTTGTTTTAAGAGGAGGCATCTCAATATGCTGCCCAGACTGGATTCAAACTCCTGAGCTCAATGAATCCTCCTGCCTCAGCTTCCCAAGTAGCTGGAACTAGGCTCATGTTGAACCTTAATTGCCATTGTGATGATATTTAAGAGGTAGGGCCCTCATGAATAGACTAACACCACTATCATAGGAGTAATTTAGTGACTGCAGGAGTTCAGCCCCCTTTTTACATCTCCTGTATTCTCACCCTCTCTCACCATGTGATCTCTTCCACAATGTTATGATTCAGCAAGAAGGTCATCACCAGATGCAGCCCCTTGATCTTGGACTTCCAGCCTCCAGAACTGTGAGCCAAATAAACTCCTACTGCTTATAGATTACTCAGTGTTAGATATTGTTATAGCAGCAAAATATGAACTCAGACAAAACTGTATCCCAAATTCTTATTATTTCGAAAGCAAATTAGTATTATTTCCAAATCATCAGCTAATGATGCAAACATACATCTTGTGTTTGCATGTTAGGGTTCTTAAAAATCTTAAAGCCATTTCTGAAAATGCAGCTGGCCTGCATCTCCTAGTATACAATGAGAAAATTTGTAGATCTGAGGAATGTGTCTGTTAGTTAAGGAAGTACTAATGGATTTCACAGCTAGGCCCCTAAATTACTCTGGCTAAATATAATTGTGTATGTCTTATTCATTTGAACTCTAACTGAATATTCCTGACTGCAGATGACCTTCTACATGGTCATTCAAGACGTCTCTCTTGAGGTTTCACCTTCCTCTAATGCCTTAGATTCCTGGGC